GAGGATGTGGAAGAGGAGGAAGAGGGTGAGGAGGATGACGAGGGGGAGGAGTATGAGGAGAAAGAGGAGTAGGATAAAGAGGGAGTGAGGTGTTCACGCTGGCTACCTGGAGAAGGACGAGGCCAGGGAGCCGGTTCAGGGTTCTCAGGAGCGAGCTCAGGGCGCGACAGAGGAGCGAGTCACCGTTCCCTGCACCGCGAGCGATGTCAAGGCAGGTCGATGTGCTCCGTGTGTACGCGTCTAGATATTGTGCATGTGTGTACGCGTGTGTGTGTGTGTGCACGTGTGTGTGTGTACGTGTGTGTGTACGTGTGTACGTGTGTGTGTGTACGTGTGTGCACGTGTGTGTACGTGTGTGTGTGTGCGTGCGTGTTACGTGTGTACGTGTGTGTACGTGTGTACGTGTGTACGCGTCTAGATATTGTGTGTGCGCGTGTGTACGTGTGTGTGTGTACGTGTGTACGTGTGTGTGTACGTGCGTACGTGTGTGTGTGTGTGTACGCGTCTAGATATTGTGTGTGTGTACGTGTGTGTGTAGGTGTGTGTACGTGTGTGTGTACGTGTGTGTGTACGTGTGTGTGTAGGTGTGTGTGTGTGTGTGTACGTGTGTGTGTGCACGTGTGTACGTGTGTGTGTACGTGTGTACGCGTCTAGATATTGTGTGTGTGCGTGTGTGTACGTGTGTGTGTGTACGTGTGCGTGTGTACGTGTGTGTACACACGTGTACGCGTCTAGATATTGTGTGTGCGTGTGTACGTGTGTACGTGTGTGTGTACGTGTGTGTACGTGTGTGTGTGTACGTGTGTAAGTGTGCGTGTGTACGTGTGCGCGTGTGTGTGTGTGTGTACGTGTGTACGTGTGTGTACGTGTGTACGCGTCTAGATATTGTGCGTGTGTGCGTGTGTACGTGTGTACGTGTGTGTGTGTACGTGTGTACGTGTGTGTACGTGTGTGTGCGTGTGTACGTGTGTGTGTGCGTGTGTAGGTGTGTGCACGTGTCTGTGTGTACGTGTGTGTGTGTGCGTGTGTACGTGTGTGTGTGCGTGTGTGCGTGTGTATGTGTGTACGTGTGTGTGTACGTGTGTGTACGTGCGTGTGTGTGTGTACGTGTGTACGTGCGTGTGTGTACGTGTGTGCGTGTGAACGTGTGTGTGTGGACGTGTGTGTGTGTGTACGTGTGTGTACGTGTGTGTGTGTACGTGCGGGTGTGTACGTGTGTACGTGTGTGTGTGCATATGTGTGTGTGTGCCAGCCAACCCACGGCACCAGGGGTGTGTCTCGGTTACCTCCTGCCGGCGAGCTTCACGTGACCTCAAAAGTGCACCTAGCCTGGCACAAGCGCCGTGGTGATGTCACCGCCACTTAGTGGTGAATGGCAGTTGTTGTTGTGTTCAGTTTGTTGTCTTTCCACCCGCACCTCCGATTAGCACGGTTAGCTACGTACGGTGCGAAAGAAGTTCTACATACATATTACGTTGTTGTATGTGTGTATGTGTACTGTATATGTATGGGTCTTCATAGGTGCTCGCTAACAGCACTTACCCCCAGTACTTGCCCCAACAGTACGTGAAGGCTATGCGGGGGATCTTTGTTTTATATGTATGGGTGTGTCTGGGTATATTTAGGGGCCATTCATTCAGTACGAACGCAAAAATCTGTCAAAACTTGACCCCTCACCCCCTCCCTGTACACACGCGAACTTTTTACCCCCCACCTGCGTACGTACGCCTGACGCAGCCCCCCCCCCCCCGAATCCTATAGAACGGCCGATAGTTAATTCACGCAGAAACGATCAAGGATTAATAATATGAACGTGTTTAAACAGATAGTCCACCGCCGGACTATCTAACTAATTTGAAGGCCAATGTAGACAAATTATTACTATCGATGTTTCACCCCCCCCCCCCCCGTTTCCTATGCGTACGTACATTGTTAGTAGCCCCCCCCCCCCCCATACGCAAGCGTACGCATCTGGGTTAACCCCCCTCCTTGCGTACGTACTGAATGGATGGCCCCTTATTGGAGGCTGATCGTTTCCCCAGGTGCGGTCAAGGGATTGCTCCCGATTGGTCAACCACATCTTGTACGCTCATGATCTTGCAATTGCAGTTCATTTACTGAAAATAGTTGGAGACACGTCGAGCGAACCGGAAACGTGCCACGAAGATGTGGGCCCATACCATCACACAAAACCAAAACGCCTGTCCGGTTATTTTTTGCCATCAAACACTCCACCACCTCAACTCCCGATCAGTGCTGGAGCAGTTTTGGAGAGAGTGGAGGAGTTTCCATACCTGGGCATAGTGCTTATGGCGGATTCTGGTTTAGCAACAGAGGACTCACTCCGAATCAGTCGAACGGCATTATCTTTTCATCAGCTGCGTAAGGCTGTGTGGAAGCTGCCTGGCCTGTCACTCCATAGGAAGCTCTGGCTCTTCTTGACCACAGTCATTCCCTTCCCTTCTCTGTACTTGCGAAACCTTGACGCGTTCAAGCTGGCATGCCTTCGATCCATCCTCAGAATCGTGGAAGAATCCGATGAGCTATGAAGCTCTTTTTCACGGATGGATTGTGTCAGGATCTCAGAGATTACTGAAAGGTCTGGACACTGTCCCAACGGTGAGCTCCTCCGGCAGGCGAGGCTGCGTTGCCTGGGTCGAGCGTGGCAAGGGATAAAGAGATTGAAATGATGCGGTACGGGAGAATGTGGAGCTGAGTTGACTTGCCGATGACTGGTACCAGCGGTGTCAAGATCGGCCTCTGTGGAGGAGGCTCGTGAAGGACGCTACTGGGCAGTTGGAGGCAGTCGCCCTCCAACAACAACGGAGGGCGGAGGAGCGACGCTCACAACAGCAAGCGGAGCGCCGGGTGCCTAAAGCACAGCAGGTTGGCACAGTAGGGGGCACAGGTGGTGCATCAGCCAGTCATCTCAGTCAGTCGACCCGTGGCGCCTGGGTCTGCCCCGAGACCTCCTGCCAGCGGGCGTTCGACACTTCACGTGGCCTCAAGGTGCACATAGCCTGGCACAAGCGTCATGGTGACGTCACCGCCACTTAGTGGCGAATGGCAGTTGTTGTTGTATGTATGGGCTGCATGTATGGACTGTATGTATGGGGGTGTATGTAGAGTGAGAGAAAAAAGTATTTGATCCCCTCCTGATTTTGTACGTTTGCCCACTGACAAAGAAATAATCAGTCTATAATTTGAATGGTAGGTTTATTTGAACAGTGAGAGAGAGAATAACAACAAAAGAATCCAGAAAAACGCATGTCAAAAATGTCATAAATTGATTTGCATTTTAATGAGGGAAATAAGTATTTGACCCCTCTGCAAAACATGACTTAGTACTTGGTGGCAAAACCCTTGTTGGCAATCACAGAGGTCAGACGTTTCTTGCAGTTGGCCACCAGGTTTGCACACATCTCAAGAGGGATTTTGTCCCACTCCTCTTTGCAGATCTTCTCCAAGTCATTAAGGTTTCGAGGCTGACGTTTGGCAACTCGAACCTTCAGCTCCCTCCACAGAGTTTCTATGGGATTAAGGTCTGGAGACTGGCTAGGCAACTCCAGGACATTAATGTGCTTCTTCTTGAGCCACTCCTTTGTTGCCTTGGCCGTGTGTTTTGGGTCATTGTCATGCTGGAATATCCATCCACGACCCATTTTCAATGCCCTGGCTGAGGGAAGGAGGTTCTCACCCAAGATTTGACGGTACATGGCCCGTCCATCGGCCCTTTGATGCGGTGAAGTTGTCCTATCCCCTTAGCAGAAAAACACCCCCAAAGCATAATGTTTCTACCTCCATGTTTGACGGTGGGGATGGTGTTATTGGGGTCATAGGCAGCATTCCTCCTCCAAACACGGCGACTTGAGTTGATGCGAAAGAGCTCCATTTTGGTCTCATCTGACCACAACACTTTCACCCAGTTGTCCTCTGAATCATTCAGATGTTCATTGGCAAACTTCAGACGGGCATGTATATATGCTTTCTTGAGCAGGGGGACCTTGCGGGTACTGCAGGATTTCAGTCCTTCACGGCATAGTGTGTTACCAATTGTTTTCTTGGTGACTATGGTCCCAGCTGCCTTGAGATCATTGACAAGATCCTCCCGTGTAGTTCTGGGCTGATTCCTCACCGTTCTCATGATCATTGCAACTCCACGAGGTGCGATCTTGCATGGAGCCCCAGGCCAAGGGAGATTGACAGTTCTTTTGTGTTTCTTCCATTTGCGAATATCGCACCAACTGTTGTCACCTTCTCACCAAGCTGCTTGGCAATGGTCTTGTAGCCCATTCCAGCCTTGTGTAGGTCTACAATCTTGTCCCTGACATCCTTGGAGAACTCTTTGGTCTTGGCCATGGTGGAGAGTTTGGAATCTGATTTATTGATTGCTTCTCTGGACAGGTGTCTTTTATACAGGTAACAAGCTGAGATTAGGAGCACTCCCTTTAAGAGTGTGCTCCTAATCTAAGCTCGTTACCTGTATAAAAGACACCTGGGAGCCAGAAATCTTTCTGATTGAGAGGGGGTCAAATACTTATTTCCCTCATTAAAATGTAAATCAACTTATGACATTTTTGACATGCGTTTTTCTGGATGTTTTTTTGTTATTCTGTCTCTCACTGTTCAAATAAACCTACCATTAAAATTATAGACTGATAATTTCTTTGTTAGTAAGCAAACGTACAAAATCAGCAGGGGATCAAATACTTTTTTCCCTCACTGTATGGGCTGTATGTATGGGCTGTATGTATGGGCTGTATGTATGGGGGTGTATGTATGGGGCTGTATGTATGGGCTGTATGTGTATAGGGTGGGGTTGGGTCTCTCTCTGGTTCCCAGGGTTTGAGAGATGCAGAGTGAATTTCACGGCGTTCAGAGAGCGCAGACGCGACCCGAGAGGAGGGAGAGTGGGGGGAGAGAGCGCGCAGGGGGTGAGAGGGAGGGGGGTAGAGCGGAGAAACTGTCGCGAGAGCAGAAGGAGAGAGGGTGTAGAGATAGAGAGAGAAGGGAGAGAAGGGAGAGTACAGAGAGATCAAGGAGGAATAAAGGAGGGACAGAAAGCTGTTGTAGAGACACTTACGGAGACAACGAGGGGGGGGGGGAGCAGAGGATAGATGGAGGACAGAGCTAAATAGACAATCTGTTTAGAGTAAGAGACAGAGAGGAGGAGATTGACATTGAGAAGAGAGAGTGGAGGGGAGACGGGAGAGGGAGGGGAGAGATTACAGACACTCTCTACAGAGTTGGAGAAAGTGGGAGACAGGAGGAGGGAGCAGAAAGAGGGACGGGGAGGTGACAAGAGAAGGGGAGAGCGGTGAGTGTGAAGGGAGAGTACAGGCAGGGAGAGGGAGGAGAGTGAGATCATAGACATCAGCGTGAGGAGGGAGAAGGAGAGAGGGAGGGTAGGGAAGGAGAGAGGGAGAGGTAGGAGAGAGTTGCAAGGAGAGGTAGGGGAGAGGCAGGGATTGCTGGAGCTGATTCTCATCTCGTCGCGTCCCGCTAAGGTGAGGCCGCATTTAAATCAGCTGCAATCCGCACGTCCACCTACACTCACCCCTCTCTTTGTTGGTCACTCACCACCATCACCGCCAATTATCAACACTACTACCACCAATCACCACCACCACCACCACCACCAATCATCACCACCATCACACATACATTATGATTACTAACGTTATAGTTACGATATTACATCGACAGTGTATCTCTGCACATCCGAGTGCGGCGCTGATTTGCAGCCATACAGCAGTGGTGGAAATGCCACGTTACCATGACGGGAGTCGGTCTCTACACAGTGCAACCTCAGTTCCACTTCCCACGAAAGTGGAGCGACTCGTTTTTATCGGCTTCCAAGTGATGATGTGTGTGCGTGTGCATGTGTGTGTGCGTGTGTATAAGTGTGTACGTTAGTGTGCCCGTGTGTGTACCGGGTGCGGTGTGTAGTAAACATCGCCATTGGGGAGACACAGGCGGCCGGGCGTGGTGTTGGCCACCCACCCCCTCGTGTGCCGTGTCGGCCTTCATAGGTGCTCGCTAAGAGCACTTGACCCAACAGTCTGCTAAGGCTACACGGGGGATCTTTGTCTTGTGGTGGAACGGTGGTGTTGGGGCTGGCGCGCTACGAACTCGGCGACCCGAGTTCGATTCCCGCTCACGGTCCAACACCAACACCCAGTGACGATAGTTATCTGAAGCGGTCCTGGGCTTCCCTTGGGTCGACTCAGCCTCAAATGAGTACCTGGTACGATGTGTAAACATCGTTACGAAGGGAGACAAAGGCGGCCAGGCGTGGTGCTGGCCATCCACCCCCTCGTGGGCCGTTCCGTGTCCGCCTCCATAGGTGCTCGCTAACAGCACTTGACCCAAAAGTTTGTTAAGGCTACACAGGGGATCTTTGTCTTTGTTGGTGACGAACATCAGCGGCGATTATCTGAACCGGTCATGACCCTCGCCTAGGTCGACTGAGCCTTGAATGAGTACCTCGTGCGGCGTGTATACAGCAGCACGTGTGTGTGTGTGTGTGCGAGGACATTTGTCTAAAATATAACGTTTATATTTCAGTGAATTTCTACAAAAGCAGGTGAATTAAAAATAACAATATTAGGGTTTCGTCAGTTGCGGAGAAACCTCGACGTTTCGGCCCACTGTCCTTCTTCAGGAAACATGTGTATATGTGCCAGTACATACTGTGTGTATATTGGTATATGGTTGTCTGTCTCTGTTAGTTTCCGGCCAACATCAGTGGCGAATATCTGAACCGATCTTGGACTTCCCCTCGGTCGAGTAGCCCCGCATAGTTGCTACGTGTAAAACATCAGCACCGGGGGAGACAAAGGCGGCCGGGCGTGGTGCTTGCCTTTCAGAGGTGCTCGCTAACAACACTTGCCCCAACAGTCTGTTCAGGCTACACGGGGATCCTTGTCTTTACATGGTTATGTGGTTGAACCCAGTGGCCTCGGTTCGACTCCAGGTGACATCAGTGGCAACTGGTGTGTTGAACCTTACCCTATAGGCTTCCCACTAAGTCAATTCAGCCATAAACGAGTACCTCGCGTCGGTGTGTAAATACGTCAGTGCTGGGGATACAAAGGCGGCCGGGTATTGTGCTGGTCACATCACCCACTCGTCTTTCTGTGGTTGCTTTAATAGGCGCTCGCTGACAGCGCCTTTCCCCCACGGTCTATACGACCACAGTATATATGTAACGGATCATTGTCTTTTTTGTGTGTACATTGTGTATACGTGAGTCATGTCATACGGTGTATATGCGTCTGTATATGTGCCCGCTCAAGAAACAATATCACCGACGAATATTTAAACCTGTCCTGGTGCCTCCCCCTAGGTCGGCTCAGCCTTAAATGAGTCCCTGGTACGGTGGTGTGGTAACAAAGGCGGCCGGGCGTGGTGCTGGCCACCCACCCCCTCGTGTGCCACAGTGCTCGTTAGCAGCACTTGCCCCAACAGTCTGTTGAATGCTATGCGGGGGATCTTTGTCTTTGTATATGTGCTGCGTACGCATTATGTTGTCCGTGTGTATTTGCGTGCACTGCACGTTTACACGTTTTTGTGTGCATTGTACACGTATATATATTTATACTACACGTGTGTCTATGTGAGTATTTGTATGTGTGTATTATATGTGCGTATGTGTATATATGTGTGTGTTTGTGTATATATATTTACGTCGCGTGTACATATGTAGAGGTGTGTGCATGTACGTGTGTACGTGTACAAAATATGTATTACAATGATTAAGATAACACAGATAGCAGTGATGGATACATGAATGATGCATTGTCCATTAGTTTTAGATTCTATATTATTTGATATAAATTATATGTACATTTAATTACAACACTTCCGTTATTACCGGATAGATGGTTAAAGCCTTTAATGCTTCGTAATGTGGAATATAGGAGGAGCGGTGGCTCAGCGGTTAGCACACTAAGCTCTGTACACGGGCGCCCTGAGTTAAAATCCTGGCCATGAGTGATATATGACCTGGGGTAACCCCATTCACCAACCCACACTGACCAGCGTGGTGAAGTATGGTCAACACCGCGCCCCCCCCCTCCCTCCCTCCCCCACATGTGAACGACACAGAGCGTGGGGAAGTCTTCATCCAGCAGTGGAGTGACCACGGGTGATAGTGAAGATGCGAGCTGAACCAATGATACATTGGTGCGCTAAACTCTTGTACACGTCACTGTTTCATTTCGTTTGGCTATGCATGGTGGTGGAGTTGTCTTACGACACACAATTGTCCAGATTATTCCGTGGCCTATCCAAAATATAAATGAAAGGTAATAATATCCATACTATTCTACTCTAAACGTGTCTTTACTATTAAACTCAAGAGGAAGGAATTGGCCATGTATGTCAATGCAAGATCCTCCTAACAATAGCGTATGAGAGAGACTAAATGAGTATTTAATGTGTACATATTATTGTTGTATTAGAAATAATTACGTACTAATTATACATTTACTCCGTAGAATTAAAGTTAACTTCACTGAACACAGATGTTTATTCCCGAACTTAGCAATCGAAAGCAATACCAGGATAAAATGCGGCAATATATGTAGCGTCCACAATAAAACTGCAATCTTAATACATGAGCTGAACAAGAAACATTGTGTTGGGGAAACTGCACGGACCGCGCGTGTGCACACAAATATGCACGCTGAACACACATTTGTGCGAACATTGTGTTGAGTGCGTGAACAAAGACAAAGATCCCCCGTATAGCCTGAGCAGACACATATGGACGTACACAACCCACACGCACGCGTTCGAGTGCGTGCGGATTAATAATAATCGCGTGATTTGAGATGCGTGAGATTTAAATGGGCGGTCGGCATGCAACTAAACGTTTGTGCCGTAATATGAATTCAACATAAACACACGCGTGTGTGTGTGTGTATTCTGGACATATGCTTATACGATCATCATAAACTTACATGTACTAGATGTGTAATGTATATGCAACCCTTATGTGTATGTATAAAGGTTATGAAGGTACAATAAAAATCCCCCGTATAGCCTGAACAGACTGTTGGGGCAATTGCTGTGAGCGAGCACCAATGAAGGGCCCAACACTACGCACGGCCGCCTTTGTCTCCCCAGTGTTGATGTTTTACACACTGCACCAGGCACAGTTACTCATTTAAGTCTGAGTCGACCCTAGGGAAGTCCGGTTTTAGATGTTCGTCACCGATGTTGGCCGTGAGCGCGAATCGAACTGTGGCCTCCGGCTCGTAGCGTAGCGCGCTAACCACTGCGCCACCGCTCCCCTTTGACGCGCCTTTAATGATATAAACAGTTGTGTTTTAAATACACGTGGATAAAGACACAAATGTATACGTTAATACAACATTTAACATAATTTAAATGTATAGATTTAAATGTATAGACACGCGTCCTGTCATATATAAACGCATATATACACAACCGTCCTGTATATATATACTCAAATATAAAGGCAATTGCCGATGCTCACTTGTACCGTATGTGTATAATAATTCGTACAGTACTTCTATAGAGGGTTGTCCAATTGTGTTTATATTATTACCGTTAACCGAATGAGAAAAAACGGTTAAAACCGGTTAGCAGATTGCTGCACATATAGAAATGCCTGGCCATAAACATTACCCTTTTTATTATTTCCCTTCTACGTGACTTTACCGAAAGAACCATGAAGATGAATCCCTGCAGTCACGAAAGCTTTAAATCGATAATTACCCTTCTACATATATACATGACACATATATACAATTTATGTTTTTGTTACCAACAACTGTGTGATGGGCCAGCGCACTGGACTTGCCCTCCAGAGGTCGCCCATTCTACTCGATTTCCCGGTGCGGCAGTTGAAACAACGTTGACGAGTTTATTAAATAAAAACAAAACCTCCATCCCTCCACCGCCTCTGTCCGCGCAGCAGTAAACACGGCGGCATTACCAACCAACCAACAGTCCTCAAATGAGAGCTCATCGAAGTGGGCTCATCATCATCGTGTGGAAATTTGTAGCGGACAAATAACTCTAAAAGCGTGACGTTGATGCTAAACGTGTAGGGGGAAACCCCGGAGGGCCCCGAGAAAAAAAATCCACGCGACCACGAGGAGAGAGACACCGCAAACGATACAGCAGCAGGCGTAGGGTGAGGATCGAACTCATGACCTCCTGTATACCAGGCGAGGTAGTTAACATCTCTCAGCGTCAGGATCGAACTCACGACCTCCTGTAGACCAGGCGAGGGAGTTAACATCTCTCAGGGTCAGGATCGAACTCACGACCTCTTGTAGACCAGGCGAGGGAGTTTACATTTCTCAGGGTCAGGATGGAACCCACGACCTCCTGTATACCAGGCGAGGTAGTTAACATCTCTCAGGGTCAGGATCGAACTCACGACCTCCTGTAGACCAGGCGAGGGAGTTAACATCTCTCAGGGATCAGAATCGAACTCACGACCTCCTGTAGACCAGGCGAGGGAGTTAAC